TATTTTTTATATAGTAATAATATTACTAAAATTAATATTTAATATTTTATAAAGAAATTAACAATTTTTTTAATTTTATAGGCAAATTTGCCTGCTAGACAATCTAAGGGATAGCGTGTCTGTAATCTTTCATAATACCTATTGATTTCTGCATTATACTTAAGAGTGCTATATAGCATTTTTTTAAGTTTCTCATAACTAACTTTTTTTTAATGTATTATTTTTACTTAAATCCTGCGAAATACAGTTTAGGATCAAGGAATCATCACATTCAAAAGTAATATTCACACAATTTACTTCAATCTTATTCTTGACCTTATATATAGTGACTGGAATAATATAATTCTTTCTATTATAGTGAAACTTTAACTCATCTTTGTCCTAATTAGTAATATATGATTAAACTCTTTTTTAAAAAATTGTAGTTTCGTCAAAAGTATCATCTCTTTAATATTTTTACATAAATAAATATAAAATTATTATATTTTTTAATGTATTTTAATTCAAGTAATTTAATCAAGTTAAATATAATTTCGGCAATTAAGTAAAATAATTTTATCATTAATAAAAAACTAGTTTCATTATTTTAGTTTCGTTAATTTTATCATATTAAAAAAGGTAATTTCGTCAGATATCACTAGTCCTAATTAATTATGCATCAATATTTCTTGAGAAGAGAATTAGAAAATATTAGTATTGACTTAAAATATTTCACAACCACAAAATCTTCATAAATAGTGTAACTTAGAACTAAGGTTATTATAAATTATGAATAACTCCAATAGATTCTATTAAAAGAGTAGTAATACTACTAAAATTATGTTTTATAGATTTATCGATTCTATACATTATGCATTTAATAATTTCAGTTATTACAATAGGAAGTTTAGCACAAGAATTCAGTATCATACTTAGAATTTTAAAACACTTAATCTTACAATTTATAGTTGTAATACTTGTAGTAGGCTCCTTTTTCTAGATGAAATCTATTTTCATAGGACCATCCAAAATCATATTCTCTTCATCTGAATCTTGAGCTAAGATGGGCTTACATTTTTTAGCTTGCTAAATTATATATAAAAGGAAATCCTTAAGTTTACTCTGAATGATTTTGCAGATAGTTTCTTCTAAAGACACCTGTTTAGTACTTTGGCTATCTTTTTTCTGATCTGGTAAGATAATGTGAATAAGAGACAAATTATTATTCTGCTTTATCTTATTAGACTTGGATTTATTAAGGTCTTTAGTACTTGATGGTTTATTGGAAATATCAATCTGCCTATTCTGCTTAGTACACTTCACATTTTTTCCATGACTTATAAGAACATTAATATTATGATTTTTAGAGTTTGATTTAACTGAAGAACCATCAGAATTAAAACATTTTAACACGTTATTATCAGAAAAAATAGAATTGGAATATTCATCTACTATGACTATATGAATTTGACCACTCTTTGTTTTGAAATCTTTAGTAAGTTTGACTAAAAGAACTTCATTTTTTTTTCCAGTCCTTTAATATTAGAGGTTGAGGATTTTAAATGTTAATGCTAAGATGATTTGATACCTTTAGTATCTTTTCTGGTAAGTTTGGCTAAATGGGTTTTAATTTGTCTTAATCTCTTTCTAATCCCCTATTGCTATGATCTGAGAATTCTGAAGATTAATACTGAGCTGAAAGTTTAGCTAATTTAGTTTTGATCACTCTAACCTTTTTTCCAGTTCCTTATTAATATGTTTATTAAAGGATAAGGCATTATTCAAATGAATTACATTTTCTGGTAGATATAAATATTAGGCAAGTTTAGAATGCATCTGCATTGATTCCACTAACTGTACCTTCAAGAAATCTATTTTGGAATTTAACTTTTCAATCTCATCTGAAGTAACTTCTTGAGGACTGACTTGATAAAAGAGTTGGATCAGAATATTTACTTGTCCTCTAGCTTCTAGCCATATATTCCTTAATTCTATAAAAAATGCATTTAAATTAGCAGGATTGGTTATTCTAATTCTCAATTGCATATTAATTGATATATAATTATAATGATATTGTTATTTCTATTATGAATTTTGAGCAGGAATAGGATAGAAACTTCCAACTCTTTTACTCTTCATATTATTGGTTTTTGCAATGGCATTAAAGCTAGCAATAGTCATATGCTGTGCTAATTTATTTATATTTCTAAGTTTCACATAATATGTATCTAGTGATTCTTGCCTATCATAAACTGAAAGAGAAGTAAGATACAATGCTAATATTTTTATATGACATATTCTATGATGACCATATTTTATGAAGATTATTTTGTAAAGCTAATATTTATTGTTATAAATTAAAAATATTCTAATTCTGAGTATGTATCTAATTTTGTAAATTCTTATAACGTCTCTTCTAAAGCTTCATAAACTAAGCCAGCTCGTGAGCCTCACGAGCCAGCTTGTAAAAGCTTGGCTCGAGCCGCTATAAAACAGTTCACGAGCTGATCAAGCCAGCTTATGCCGTGGCTTGGCTCATAGTACAGCTCGGCTCATCAGCTTGGATTTTTCATTTTTGATCTAGGAGTATTAACTTCGAAGAAAAATGCTTTCGGCAATGATTTCTTTGAAGTTAAATGATTCTGGAAATGATTCTTCAAAGTTAAACGATTTCAGTAATAATTTCTTCGAAAAAAAATGATTCGGTAATGTTTTCTTCAAAAAATAACGCTTCTGATGCATTTTTTAAATAAAATCACCTTTAGAGCTCTTTTTTTAAATGACAACGCCTCCAGAGTGTTGTTTCTAATTAATAATGCTTTGGGAGCATTATTTTAATTTATAATGCTTCAGGAGCATTATTTTTAATTTATAATACTTTGGAAGCATTATTTTTAATTTATAACGCTTTCAGAGCGTTATTTTTAATTTATAATGCTTTAAGAGCGTTATTTTTAATTTATAATGCTTTAAGAGCGTTATTTTTAATTTATAATGCTTTGAGAGCGTTATTTTTAATTTATAACGCTTTGAGAGCATTATTTTTAATTTATAATGCTTTGAGAGTGTTATTTTTAATTTATAACGCTTCCGGAGTATTATTTTTAATTTATAACGCTTCCAGAGCGTTATTTTTAATTTATAACACTTCCAGTACGTTATTTTTAATTTATAATGCTTCTGGGATATTATTTTTAATTTATAACACTCCTGGAGTGAATTTCTTAAAGAACAACGCTTCAGAAGCAAAATTCTTAAAGAAAAGCGCTCCAGAAGTGAATTTCTTAAAGAACATGCTCCAGAAGCATAATTCTTAAAAAAAATATTCCAGAAGCATTTTCGCTTCAAAAGAATCGATTTGGAAACAATTCTCTTGAAGGAAATCGCTTTCCGAAACTTTTCAATTACTCTGAAATTTTTTTCAGATTTTTGTTAATAATGTTAGCCATATGAGCTGGCTCAGCTTGCCACATTTTGGACTCAAGCTGAGCTAACTCGTGAGCTGAAATAATTCAGCTCAGCTCGAGCTGATGGTGAGCCGGTTCGAGTCTGCTCATGCGGAGCTTTAGTCTCTTCCATTTTAAAAGCTAATTTTGCAAGTCTGCATATGTTCTTCTCCATCTCTCTATTATTATTATATCTCAAAATCCACCTATGTGTGATTCTCCTATGCTCAGTAATTTGAGTATTCTTACATTAGATTAATAATCAGAAGATAAAGTTTTCACATAATAATTTCTAATTCACTACTTTAATTGCCAATTTTCTCTAAATCCCAATCAGTATTTTTATATATCTGCTCAGAACTTTGTATTTGGTCTTAAGATTTATTTAATAAATGTTGTCACCATAAATTCTAATTTTTACTATCATCATATGGGCTAATTTGTCTCATATCACTAATTAAATTTTAGTGATAAATATGAATTGATCGACTGCTGATCAAAATAATAATAAATAAAATGATAATATTAGATAATGCATAATGACGCACATGACAATTTCATTTTTAAGCCAACTTTTGAAACTGGATTTTGCAACTTAAAAAACCTGTCAGAAATTAGTTAGGAATTGGTTTTTTTAGGAAGGAATTAATTTTTGTAAGTAGCGTGACAATAAGTCATAATATTTAAAAATAAGGATAATTGGTGAAATTATTTGATTTTAAAGTACAAAAAATGGTGAAAACAACAATTCCTATTGTACTAGAATAAAGCGAAAGTACGCTTTCTAGTATTTTTTTTTAACAATAGAAAAATTCTAAAAAATTCTTTTATTATTAGATGTTTTTTCAAGTCATATTTTTATACATGATTATCTGAATAATCCAAAAATTGAAGCTCATTATAGGCCAAATGGACGTTTATATTGTTCATATTATAATATTATTTCTTTGGGAACTTATCCTTCTACATCAAAATTATCCCAAAAACCTTGAAACGATACGCCTCAATATCTTATACCTGATAAATATATAGTTGAAACAGAGGTTTTTGAATGGAAAATTAAATGTGAAACTAAATACACTTCAAATTTAAATGTATGCTATACAATTATATAGAAGGATAGACGTGCAGAATGGAGTGTAAGTAGCGTAAAATCCTCCACAGCAGTAATTAATCAATTTTTACAGGTATGTAATTAATGTTTATCTTTTTAAAAAAATACAATGCATTTATATTTATTTAATTTATTAATTAGAAAATTAACCAAAAAAGATCAACTAAGCTTTCTGGACCACGATTATTTGGATTTGATATTGAGCCATTGTATCATATTTGTTTACAAATTAGTTCTTATCCCATTATTACTACAATCACAAAAGCCAACAAGCGTAAAAGACCATTTGAGGATATTATTTCACGGTAACAACAAAATAAACAATTAAGTAATTTTGGAAAAGATGTGCAAAATGCTATTAATGAATTAATTGTCAAACATAAATTGACAAATACAGGAGAACTAATTGTAAATTTACACTATCTTGAATTAGATTACAAAGATAATCAAGCTTGTATCAAGTTTAAAGATTCAGTAATACAAACAAGATTTGATGCTATTATATGTGTATGTGATGAAGTATTTTTAGGTCGTGATAGATATCGGCATTTAGTAGCAATTATACCAACTCTTTTTCGTTAATATTTAGTTGCTAATCATCGAAATGAAATTAATGAGCTTATAAATGCACAAATTAATATAAGAACATTTAATATAGATAGGAAAATCAACGATCAATTTGATATTAATAATTTTAATGGATATATTAGTGATATTTTAGTAGATGATCTTGAAATAGGAATTGGTGCTTTTCGTTCTATTTTAACTTTACTTAAAATATTAATCTCCAATTGGAAGGCAGGAGAAAATCCTGTAATAACTTCTGGAAATACTCTTTATATTAAACTTGGAGGAGATGATCAAAATGTTGGACGAAAGCAAAATCATGTGATGATGGCATTTTGCTTATTAAATGAAAAAAAAGAAGTTTTAAAACCCGATCATCAATATTGGTAATTATTACTATTAATTATTATTGTTATTATTGTAATTTTTTCAATTAAATTATGTAATTATACTATTACAGTATATGTCTTTATATTAGTCATGAAAAATATGAAGATTTAGCAAAAGTTGGCTATTTATTTCAAAGTCAATTATTTGATTTAAAAAATAATGGAATTATTAATCAAGATGGTATTTATTAGCCAATTGACTTATTTTTCTGTGGTGACTAAAAATTTATATATATTATTATGGGTATAAATGCACTCAATTCCAAATATTTTTGTTTGTATTATGATTGTGAGACATCATCACGATTGAATATGGATAAAGTATGGAATAATGCAAAAAATACAAAATGTAAGTTTTACTTAATATATTATTAAATTAATACAACTGTAAAATTTATTTTGTATAATAATCTTAATTATTAGGTAAAAAAAGACATCTTTATTTCCAGCAATTAATCAAGAAAATTATATATCAGATGAATTACATTTGCTTTTACGTATATCAGATATCCTGATGGATTGTTTATTTACAGATTTATTTAATCTAAAAGAATTTTCAAAACAAATTAGACCAGAAATTGAATTAGCATTTAAAAAGATTAAAATTCATTTTGAATTTTTTTCAATCCAAATCAACTGGAAAACATTGGAACTGGACTTCTTTAATGAGTCCAGATAAAAAGATGTTAGAAAAATTTTCAGTTTCACAATTTATTCCAGGTATTCATGGAAAGGATATAGAAAAATTGTGGAGAGAATTTTATTGTTAATATATAATTTTACATAAAGAATACCTTTCAGATCAAGAAATTGATCAATTTGAAATTGATGCTCAAAAATTGGATTCATATGTTTTGCCGTCTAACTCAAGGTCAAGTAAATAGTACCATTAATATTCCTGGTTTATATCAAAAAAAATGATGTTATACCTTATATGCATGTTTTTGCAAAACATATACCTCAGTTTTTGTATCAATTAAAAGAAAAAGGTCTTTCTTTACAAAATTTTATCTACTTCAAGTATAGAGAAAAAAAATCACAATCAGGTATTAAAAATTATATATTTTTTATTTATAATAGAAGCTTAAAATAAAATTAATTCCTTCCCAACTTTTCTTCAAATTAAAAACTCCAAAACACGAAAATAATTTATTTTTTTTCTTGAAAAAAATTTAATACAATATTTTAGGTTTGCTTATTTTTTGGGATATAACTATGGGTGGAGGAACTGATGGAAAATCAGTAGTATTTAATATAATGTCTTGAAAATCACCAAATATTTTACTTAATTAACAATACTCCTAAAAAGATTATTGCTAAAAACATTGATGTCAATAATAGAGAAAATTAAAAACCCATTATTTTTTATTAATAAAAAAAAAAATATATATATATATATATTTAATAATTGGCATGTAGTTGAATTATTATGGTGTAATCAAGGTAATATAAATCTATAGCTTTGAGCACGTGAAATTAAAGATAATGATTGATTCGTATTGGATTTATTTCTGAAAAACAAATTCAAAAAATGGTAAATAAATAACTTTAATATTAAAACCCAATTAAAATAATATATACTCACTCGTCAACAAATTCTCCAGAATTAGTTATAAAATTACAAGTTGCGGTATTACACTGAAAATTACGATTGTTTTCATTTAATACTAATAGCGACCTAATTAAAAGTTTAACTTTTTAATCATATTATTATTAATTAATATTGCAAATAAGACATTTAAATACCAGCTAAAATTAACTTTATATGTTCTCATATAATTAACAAATAAAACATAACCCATAGTATTCGTTTTAGGATCTTGTCGAAGATTCTAATATTCATAATTAAGTATTTGCTTGAGTCTTTCTTCTCCAGCTTTCCTTGAAATTGGCAATAATATTTTCTTTGTGTAGGACTATACTGAAAAGTAGGCTCATTTTCAAATAAATAAACAAAAATAGTCTCTGAAAAGGCATCAATAGAAAGTCGCTTAGAACTAATAGAATGCCTATTAAAGCCAAGCCACTTTTTAATAAGAACTATAAAAGCATTTTGATAATAAATAATGGGCTTGAGAGAAGGCAAAAAAAGTGAAGCACAATGGGGTATAACTTATTGTTTCGGTGTTTATTTCTTTCATGTGTTAAAAGTTTATTTCTAGAAGGAAATATTTGTTAGCAAAGTAGACATTTGTGAGTAAAAATGTTTACATTCATTTTTACGATTAGTGAAATGTGTTGTGATATAAAATAGATGTTGTTAGTGATAGTCTAGTTATGACGCATTAGTACTGCGCCAATTACAATTAGCGAATGATGATCCCGTCG